TAAATAACAATTTAAAAATTTTTTAAAAAGACATAAGGTGGCTAAAAAAATGAGTCAGGAAGCATTGCCTCTTCTTCAATTTATTTTAAATGTTTGAGAAAGACAAGTATTAAATCATCTTTGGATGTTTGGTAGAATTCATTAGTGAAGCCATCTGGTCCTGGACTTTTACTTTTTGGGAGGTTTTTGATGATTCAATTTCTTTACTGTTGATTGGTCTATTTAAATTTTCCAGTTTTTTTGTGATTCAGTATAGGAAGGTTGTATATTTTTAAGAACTTGTCCATTTGATCCAATTAAATTTGGTGGCATATATTCTTCATAGTTTTCTTGTATGTTCCTTTGTATTTGTATTTGTATGATGTCTTCCGTAACTTCTCTTTCATTTCTGATTTCTTTTCTCTTTTTTTCCTTAATGAGTCTAGCCAGGAGTTTGTCAACTTTATTAATCTTTCCAAAGAACCAGCTCTTTGTTGCATTAACTTTTTTCTATTGTTGTTGTTGTTCTCTATTTCGTTTTATTCTGCTCTAATTTTTATTATTTCCTTCCTTCCGCTGACTTTGGGCTTCATTTGTTCTTTTTTTCCTAGTTCTTTAAGATGTAATTTTAGCTTGTTTATTTGAGATTTTTCTTGTTTCTTGAGATAGGCCTATAATGATATAGGCTTTTCTCTTATTACCACTTTTGCTGTATCCCAAAAGTTTTGATATATTTTCATTCTCATTCGTTTCTATGTATATTTTGATCTCTTTTATATTCTCTTTGACTCAGTCATTCTTTAGTAGCATGTTGTTTAATCTCCACATATTTGTGGTTTTCCCTGCTTTCTTTTTGCAGTTGATCTCCATTTTCAAAACATTGTGGTCAGAGAATGTGCTTGGTATGATTTCAATCTTCTTAAATTTTTTGAAGCTAGTTTTGTGTCCCAACATATGGTCTGTCCTTGAGAATGTTCTGTGTGTACTAGAGAACATTTTTCTCTCTTATTTATGTTATGTGTCTCAGTTCTGGTGTTTTAAGATGAAAGGCTCTGTGAATATCAATTATGGCCATCTGGTCTAATGTGCCATTTAAGGCCAATATTTCCTTGATTTTCTGTTTGGATCATCTATCCATAGCTGTCCAAGGGATATTTAGGTCTCCTACTATAATTGTATTTTGTCAGTTTCTGCCTTTAGTTCTGTTAGTAGTTGCTTTATATTTTATGGTGCTCCCTAATTGGGAGCATATATCTATTAAGTATCATGTCTTCTTGATGGATTGTCCCCTTTATCATTATGAAATGTTCATCTTTATCTCTTGTTATTCTTTTTAATCCTGAAGTCGGTTTCATCAGATATAAATACAGCTACACCTGCTTTTCTCTAGATGCCATTTGCCTGGAGTATTGTTTTCCACTCTTTCACTTTGAGTCTATATTTGTCCTTGCCAGCTGAGTTGTGTCTCTTGAAGGCAACATATTGTTGGGTTTTGTTTTTTGATCCAATCTGCTATTCCATGCCTTTTTTGGGGGGTGAGGGAGTTCAGTCTATTTACATTTAGGATGATTATTGATATGTGATGATTTTCTATAACCATTTTATCTTTTGTTTTCTTATAGCTCAATCTCTCCATTGTTTCTTTGCCCTTATGTTTCTGTCTGTTAATTTAATTTGGTGGTATTTTATGATTTTTTCCTTTCTTCATTCAGTTTTATGTTATGTGTCTCAGTTCTGGATTTTTTTGTATGTAGTTACCATTAAGTTTATGTAAAGGGAATTTATACACATATACAGACATCCTTTTTCTTCTGCATGCGTCTTACCTTCATTCCCCTTAGCATATTCAGACCTTTACTACCCTTTTCTGTTTTTGTTGTCTCAGATTATCCCTATTTATGCTATGAGTTCATTTCTAGGTTGCAGTAATTGTTGTCTTCTTCTCTTTTAAAGTGTTTTTTTTTTTTTACCTTTACCATTATGTAATATTTAAGCTTATAATATTCTGTTCTTAATAAGGGCAGCACTTTACTGTTTCTGTCTTTCTGTTAGTCATCTTACCCATAGTTAGATAATTTTTTGTCCTTTTATTTCCAGTAGAATGACCCCCTTCAGTATTTCCTGTAATGCAGGCCTTGTGGTGGAAAATTCCCTCAGCTTTTGTATGTCTGAAAATGTCTTTCCTTCTTCATATCTAAAGAACTTTGCTGGATATATTATTCTTGTCTGGTAATTTCTGTCTTTCAGTAGTTCAAATATTTGATTTCACTCCCTCCTAGCTTGTAGAGTTTCTGCTGAAAAATCCAATAATAATTTAATGGGACTTCCTTTATAGGATACTGTCATTTTTCTCTGGCAGCCAAGAGAATTTTTCTTTGTCCTTAATTTTTAGCAGTTTTAATATAATGTGCCTTGGAGAAGGCCTTTTGAGGTTGAGATAGGTGTTCTGTTTGCTTCTTGGATTCGAGGATCCAGTTCTTTCCATAGGTTTGGGAAGTTCTCATCAACTACTTGTGTGAATAGGCTGTCTGTTCCCTTCTCCCTCTCTTCTCCTTCTTGTATACCATTATTCTTATATTGCTCTTTCCAATGGAATCAGATAGTTCTTGTAGAGTTCCTTTTTGTTTGTTTTTTTGTTTTTGTTTTTACTCTCAAGTCTGTTCTTCCATCCACTTCATTTTGAGATTCCTATCTTTGCTATCACTAATTTTTTTCTCCATCTGGGCAACTCTATTTCCTAAGCTTGCTAGTTCATTCTTCATCTCTTTTATTGAGTTCTTCAGCTCCAGAATTTCTGATTCTTTTTTAAAGTTTCAGTCTCTTATGCAAAGTAATCTTTTTGTTCATTGATTTTATTTATGATTTCATTAAACTGCCTGAGTTTTCTTGCATGTCTTTGAGTTTTTTCAGAACTGCAATCTTGAATTCTCTGTTATTTAAATCATATATTTCCATGTCTTTAAGTTGATTTTATGGAGCCATTTCGTTTTCTTTCTGAGCTACTTTGTTGCCTTGGTTGTTCATGGTATTTGGCGGATTATTTCTCTGCCTAGACATTTATGGGAATGAA